GAGACAGTTTCAAATCAAATCGGAAGTACAGTTTCAACAAATAATACACTGCATATATTCTTCTTAGTGGTTAATTGCTGTACAAGATGCGGATGCAAGGCTTTAAATAACGTATTGTTTAAGATAAAATTTTAAAATCATTAACTCTAAAAGTTTTAAAAAGCATCATTCAATAATTCTCTTGTTGGGGGCCAGGGAGATGGCTCAGTGGAATAAGCGCTTCCCTGGCAAGCACAAGGGCCTGAATTCAATCCCTGGTTCTGTTAAAAAAACCCCAAAATTCCCAAAAACTCTTGTTACATATAAGTCATACAATGAATGAGAAGTCTTTCTGAAAACAGAACTTTTCCAGAGATTATATGCTTAGTACACGAAGATTATATGCTTAGTACACACAAATGTCTCTTCTAATAGAAAATCACAGCCAGAGTACTTCTTATAAAAAAAACCATAGTCAACAACCTTTGCCACTGTAATTCAAAATTCAGTCCCAAATATCTTGTGATTTTAAAAAAATGGCAAAGTACTTACTTGTCCAATATGCACTGCACCAGCAAGCTTTCCACGTCAGCTACATCTATGTTTAACTCCTAAGACAAAAAGAGTCATTACAGTTCTACTGGTTAACACTGTTAAGACTTTTTGATTTTATATAGTCCAGCTGATTTTATATTCATTTCCACCAGTTAAAGGAACTTCAGTAAAGAGATATATATTATCAATTCAAATAATCCTCTGAAATTTAGGACTAATGGAGATTTAACTTTATAACTTGAAGTATATTTCTAAAATTTTACTGTGGTTGAGGCTGATCCTTTAGTAATGAAATATTTCAGCCACTACTTTTTTCTAGTTTTCTTATGAGGCTGGAGGAATTCTCAGCACTTTAAAGATTTGTCAGTTTCTCTGCTACAAGGTTAAAGCTCTATTCTGCTAACTCAAATTTATTCCCCTCAAGCCAGAGCAACATTTACATTAAATGTGAAACCCTTAGAGCCAGGGAGCTAGCTCTGTGGTTTAAGCACCTGCCTGGGGTTTGATCCCTGGTATCGTATGCAGAGCTGGCCCGCAAACCAGGCATGGTGGCGCACGCCTGTAATCCCTGAGCTGGGAAGGCTGAGATAGGATGATCACTATGAGTCTCAGCTGCGTAGGAGACCCAGTACCAAATAAATAAATAAAATATTAAAAAGTAAAGCCCTTTGGTTATGCTTAATTCATTCTACAGTGTTTCCAAGTTTGTTACTCTTCATTGGTTTTGACTTTTTTTTTGGTGGTATCGGGGATCGAACTCAGGACCTTGCACTTGCCAGGTAAGCACTTATTCCACTGAGCTATCTCCCCAGCCTCTTGTCACTCTTTTCAAAGGAAGACAGGCATACTGCATTTTTAAGTATGAAGTGTAAATATCATTAAAGCCATACATACCTTAGAAATAAAAGGGATATGTATTCTTGTGTAAGGCTTAATTAACTTTATAAGCACTTGTGTTCTGATGTTTCGTAAAAGTTCTGAAAGAAAAGACAAATATCAATGTATCTGTATTTAACAGTTTGTCTGTCCTTATAGTGTAGTCCTTCTACACTATACCAACAATCTCAGAATCCATCTTTCTGTTTTGCAAGGACACAGGTATGTGGATCTGAAAACACTGGGGCCCAGGGCCTGCAGTGTGAAGTGAGGCGCGCTCCGGTCGCCCTTACTCTGCTGTACTGTGGCTGCACTAACAGCCCACCTGCTTCCTCGGTGCCAGCCCGCTGTCTACCATGCTTCCCATAGCTAACACTGTTTAAGTGCTTACTTGCATCAGTCACATCCCTCTTTTTATGCTCTTTCAAAAACCTATAGTGTATTTTATACGCTGCTTTTATAATTTCTCCATGTGATTTATACGCAATTATATTTTTCACTTTTAAAAACCATATTGGAGTTCACAAAGTTTTTGATTTTTCTATCTAACTATAAAGTGCTATGGTATCATTCTAGGTTCATAGGACAACTTAAAAACCTGTAGAATGACACAGGAAGGTGGGAACAAGAAAATACCAATTCTGAAGTGCTGTTCAAATTTTCCTGACACCTCTGGAATCTAACTTTCGAAATGGATTGTTCCAGATGGTCTTCACACTCAAACCTCTCCCCTGGAACCGGAAAGGCCCCCAAACAGAACATGATTTGTTTCAATCTTTTATTTATTGATTTATTTGGTACAGGTTCTCGTTATGCAGCTCAGACTGACAGTGATCCTCTCGTCTCAGCCTCCCCAGTGCTGGGATTACAGGCATGTGTCACCATGCCTAGTTTCAGTGGCCGGCACAGTGCACCCAGGGTTCCAGGGCTGGCATGGTACATGGCACCAGGGACCAAACTTGGGTTTTTGCGCTTGCCAGGCAGGTACTTAGACCTCTGAGCTGTCTCTTCAGCCCCAGCATATGATTTTTGTCTCTGGTAGTTCAAAAGACCTTATTACAAATCTCATCTTACTGGCATGAATCCTTTCCAATGTTACTTACCTTTTCTAATAAACGTATGTCAGCATTATCTATAATAGGATAACTTTCAAAGCTTTTTGGAAAATCAACCTTAAGAATTAATACTGAGCTGAAGCATCAACATGGAACAGTGGGGTGTGGTGGTACAAATCTATAAACTCAGCATTTGGGAAGTTGAGGCAGAAAGATTGCCACAAGTTTGAGGCCAGCCTGGACTACACAGAGTTCAAGCTAGCCTGAGCTACACAGCAAGACCCTGTCTCAAAAAATTAAAAAAAGGAACAAACAAAAAAACAAAGACAAAACCGAACATGGAATAATATCTTAATTACAAGAAAAATATAATAGCGATGCTACCTCAAACAAAGCAGACCTTTATGTCAGAAGCGGAAAGCTGCACATTAAGGCACAGGCCTGTACCCCTAGCACTCTGTGAGGCTGAGGCAGGAGGGTTATAAATTCAAGCTCAGTCTGCAAAATGTAGTGACTCAGAGAGAGCTTGACTCAAAATGAATAAAAACAGACCTGGGGATCTAGCCCAGAGCAAAGGCCTGCACTCAGCTCTTCAGGATGGGGAGCAACTGCAGCAGGAGGCAGGGCACACTCGACCGGCTAATGACTCCTCTCAAACGGGTTTCTAGTTTTGAAGGGCAACCCATCCCATGCGAACACTAAGAAACATCCTACTGCTCTGCTGTAACGGCTTCATGCTGTGCAATGCTATTAGAAGGCTTTTGTCTGACCATGGAAAAGAATATCAAGAGAATTTGGTTAGCAAAAGGAACATACCTTCAATGTGTTCTCTTATGAAAGGATCATCCATAATGTTGCTGTGATTCGTTTTCAGAATCTTTTCAAATTCAGTGATGTCATTATTCTGATAGGCACTAACGGAAAAAAAGTGGAACCTTGTCAAACAGGAAGAAATCATGGATTAAATCAGACAACGCAGAGCCTGTTTCTCAATATTTATACACAAAGTCTAAATTACATTACTTTTTGATTATGGAAACCAGAATGAAACACATACACATCCTTCTGACAAAAGAAAAAAAGTTTGGGTGGGGGAATCTCATTTAACGCTAGGAAATATGCTAACATACGAGTCTCTAGTATTATCCCTAGCACCAAAATGACACCACCACCACCACCTTTCTAATTTATTACAGAAAGAATAAATGAATCTTGTTTGGGGTTATATATTTACACATAGCTAATTAAAATAACCTTAAAATCCTGACAGTTGACAACAGAACATTTAATATTTGATGTTTTCAATTTGTGCATTCAATCCCTTTTTAATCCCTAACTGTTCTTAATAAAAGAAACCAGGCTTCTCACACGTTACTACAGGATGGAGTTTGGCCCTGTCTTTTAAATAAGAAAGCATATCTTCTTTGAAGGTTATTCAGAAAGTGCAGCTTCCTAATTTTTACCTTCTAGAAAGCTACTAGCTATTGCCAAAACTTTTCAAAAGAACATTTGGTTCTCAAGTCCTTTTGGCCTAAAATTCTAGTGCATTACATTGCAGGAACACCAGGGGCAGGTAATTAGTGGCACCAGAGTGCACAGGTGAGGTAGAGATGGGTCCCTGGCTGCAGGCCAGGGCGAGAGTGTGCCCGTAACTTTGAGATATTGAGTGTCTACTTCTGGAGTAACTGCCCGACACTATGGGGTCGCTGAAGGTGCTGAGAAGGAAAAGCCAACCTTCTGGGAATGGCACCACTGTCTGCTTTCTACGTAAGACATATCATTCTGCAGGCCCTCTGCTGTGCTTCCATCTCTTGGGTCGCAATGTAACTTCATGTTAGGGGCAGGTGATTCAAAGCTTCAACAGGAATTATTCTCCTCTAGTCTGCTGGCAACTGACTAGGAAGATAAAATTAGGAAGCATTACTTTCTTACCTTCCTCAAGCTCTTCTGCAATACACTACAGGAAGTGCAGTCAAGTAGGGCAAACATCTGCACACATGCCTTTTATCTTCTACTTGTGTCCATGTAATTTAAACTGTGGGATATCTTCCCATCAAGTAGAATTTTAAAATAATTATAAATCCTAGACAACACTGTGAGGCATCGTGCATCACTTGTTCGGGTACAAACTTACTATTAAAAAACCTTCTGAGGTCCAACATAGAGCTTCACTGGGGGAAGTGGTCAGACATAATAAACATAAATGCAACTAGTATGTTTTAAAGGTCTGATATATCAGTCCTTTAATCTCTTTCAATATACAGTATTTAACCAATTTAATTTACATAAAATACTAACATCTAGGACAAATTTTTTTTTCAAGTTTAGACTGCTGAAAAACATTAAAAAATATTTTAAAGTTAATGCCTAACCAAATCAGCTCTTAAGGTAGGTATAAACGCTGCTTGAAATCAAGATGAAGGCATCTCCTTTTGTAACTAAAATCAGTATGAGTCAATCAACATAATAAATACGCCAAAGTAATAACAGTAAAAGGACTGATTTCTTAAGAGTTTTTATCCTCTGAAGACTCGTACTTCAAAAAAAAAAAACCAGAATAGAATAAAACAAAACAAAAATTCCAAAGCTGATTCTTACTTTTCTGCGACTAAAATTAAAGTTTTAAAAAATCTAACAACTTACAAAGATCATAGCCAAACAAAAAGCAAAGAGAAATAATGGTATTTTGAAAGGAAATTTATTATCATGAAATAAGCTGCTTTCTGCAAGTATATAAAATTTATATATAAGTGACTCATAATTTATAGTCTGTTATTTTTTACAATCTTGTTTTAAAAAATAAGTTTTTTTTTTTTTTCCCGGAACCAGGGATTGAACTCAGGCCCTTGCGCTTGCCAGGGAAGCGCTTATTCCACTGAGCCATCTCCCCAGCCCCAAAATAAGTCTTTTTAAAACAAGACTGCAAAAAATATGTTATCTCGTTACCTATATATACCTAAAAAAACCCTGCACATATTTCCGTATTTTGTTCAGCCTTTGTAAACTGGGCACATACAACTCAAACCAAAAGTCCGTTGGTCCAGTGATTTCTTATACTTTCTACAAGGAAAAAAACGCAGGACAGTCCAGAGCTCCAGTTACTGCTATCCCAAAGGAAAGTTTCTCCTGTTCACTGACTTCTTCTGTGCTCTCCTACCACAAGGAAAGTACCACTTCATTCAGTGTTCTTGTGATAGGGGAACTGAGCTGAGGGGCACTGGACTGAGCCCCATACCCAGTCCTTTCGTCTGTTTATTTTGAGACAGGGTTTCACCAAGTTTTTCAGGCTGGGCCTGAACTTCTGATCTTACTGCCTCATCTCCCACAGTACTGGGGTCTCAGGTGTATATCACTGTGCCCAGATGTTTGGTCTTATTTTCTAGAATCTTATTAAACATTAACTAATTATGCCAAATCCTTCAGTTAATAATTATTATTTGTATCATTCTCCACAAAAGTATTTTAAGGGGGTCTGGCCCTAGCTCAGTTCTTTAAGTAGCTGCTTCCACAAAGCTGTCAGCCTCAGGTTGCAGTAGTTCGATCCCCACAACTACAGGTAGCCAAACCTGCCCTGAAGGCATTCGGAGCAAAAAAAAAAAAAAAAAGTATTTTAAGTCTTTGGGTCTTGTACTAATATAACTCATCGGTCTCCTAACCGTCCACCTTAGAAAAGTAAACAGAGAACATTTTTGTTTTTTAAGACACTGTCTCATTATGTAGTCTAGGCTGACCTTGGACTTGTGGCCATCCTCTTGCCTCAGCCTCCCAACTGCAGGGATTACAGGCATATAGCACCATGCCAGGCCTAGCAGGGAACATATTTAAAAATGCTACTTTTAAGTTGATATAATAAATGAATAAAATGTTTTTTTGCGGTATTTTTTCACTGGAAATTCTTAACACCTCTTGAGCACTTAGTACTTTTACTGGATTAAGTCACATAGAGGCAATAAATAATGTAAACTAACTTACAATCAGTTTTGTATTGAAAAATAGCAGGCATAAGCACAGAGAAACAGATATAATAAAAAAAACCCCAACAGTGCATACTGTTACAAAGTTGGTTCTCTGCACTGATTTTTTTTCTTTCTTTTTTTGGCACCAGGAATCAAAGCCAGGACCTTGCACTTGCCAGGCAGGCACTTAGGTTGCTGAGCTGTATCTGCGGCCCCGCCATGGTAAAGGTCAGAATATAAAAATTTCATGAACATCTGTGTATCTCATACAAAAATATAAAAGAACAAATATTGACTATTAACTGTATCCTGAGATGTTTTCTCTCGCGACTTTGGGATCAGTTTAAAGAAATATCTTAACTGAAATATAAAATCTTACCTTACTAAATTTGTCATTGCTAGAATTTCTGGATCATTTTTGTACGGCTTAGCCTGAACACATTTAGAAAAAAAAGAAAGAAAACTTAGTTATGTATATGCAAAAGCAAAGAGTACTAATTTTTTATAGAAGATAGCTGGTAAGAGAAATTAACAAGTAAAGCTCACACACCTCCTGTGAGTCAAATGGATTTATCCCCGACTTCATTAGCATGTTTGCTAAGACCAAGTATTTTAAACAAGTAGTTCGTCTTGGACTTCCCGATTCATCATAATTCTTGAAGGCTTCAAAAAAATCTGTGTGTGCCTTTTCAAATTCACCTTCTCTCAAGTGCATCTTACCACCACATTCTGTACAGAGTAAAACATGAGGGAAAAAGTCCACTTTTAGTTCTCTAATAATAAGACCATTTTATTTAATAGAAACCAAATAAAAGGTTTTATTAGCTTTTTCTTTGTACAATCCTGGGGATCAAACTCAGGACCTTGTGCTTGCCAGGTGGGCATTTATGTTGCTGAGTTATCTCCCTGGCCTATCTTACAGTCTTTTACTTCTATAACTTGAAGAGCACTAGCCCCAGAGCACCATCTTTTCTTGGGGGGGCAGGTACCATGAATTGAAGTTGGAGCCTTGTACTTGCCAGGCAGGCACTGGGCCACTGAGCTATATCCTCTGCCTCCAAAGCATACATTTTAATTCTTAAAAGCAAGCTTTTCGCTGAACGACAGCCAGTCACTTGCAAACCTTTATCCTCAGTTCAATCAGAAAGTAATTTTGTACACATCATCACACCTCCGGAACAGAACTTCCGATAATGTGAATTTGCCAATAATATATTTTTATTGTTGAAACTTTCAAACTTTCATGAAGGGCACACGATGTCCACCCACACCACTGCCTGCCACCTGCACCCCCACTTGCCTCTGATGACACCCATGATCAGCGGGTGAGGGATGGCAGACTTGATGTGAAGCGACTGCTCATACAGTGCTTTCAGTTTTTTGTTATTTTTCTGCGCCGTGTACATTTGAATTTCCAAGGCATATATTTCTAATAACTGTGTACCTTTTTTCAGGTCATCTTCTCCATCATCAGTCTAGGAAAGTAAATACTTTAGTTAGTGTTATGGTTTGTGTCTAGCTGTCCCCCCAAATCCTCCCTCAGTCATCAGGGCAGTTTCTAGAGTTTTTCTAACTCATGACCCAATGGTGGGATTCTGGGTGTGGGTACTACACCCACCCTGGGGCACACATTCTGAATACAACCTATGGAGAGGAGAGAGGCTAGTCAGCTGCTGCACCCGCTGCTCCTCCCTTTGCTCTGTGCTGTTTTCTGCGGCCATGAAAAGCTGCCCTCTGCCTTGGAGCCAGCTGAGTAGGGACTGAAACCTCTATTAACTGTGAGCTAAGTAAACCTTTCCCTAATTTTGGGTGTTGGAGTATTGTGTCCCAGCAACGAGAGATAAGTAACTGAGACAGAAAAGACAGAATTAAGTTTGATCCCTGATACCACCAAAAAAAAAAAAAAAAAAAGACAGAATTCAGAGACAACCTGTTTTTTTTTTAAATTATTTTATTTATTTATTTATTTATTTTTATTTTTGTGCGTGTGGCCAGCTCAGCCCACCAGGGGGCGGGGCTGGCTGGCATGTGGTGCTGGGGGATTGAACCGCGGTGCATGTGCTGTGCTTAGCGTAGCTTGTTCTAAGTAGGTGCTTTAGACCACTGAGCCATCTCACCAGCCCAACCTGTTTATTTCTTAGTCTGGGAACCTTGTACTTATAACACTATTTCTATGTGAAATGCACTAAAATTTAATTGGGAACTAGCAGATACCACTGCTTTTTACTTTCTAGTTACTGAACAAAGAAAACATGGCCAGAATATTTTGTAGGTATAAAATGGTTAGGTGTTTATGTTTTTAAGTAGATTTATGTAACACCTTCCTGAAACTATCACTTGACTGTTTTGGATTTACTTAGTCACAAAGCACTTCCTAAGGGCCTCTGGAGAAATACAAGCTAAATAAGCTATAGTTTCTCATCTCAAAAAATTTCACAATTTGGTAGAAGACTAATGTGTCAACATAAATGACAGAGGTTCCAACTTAGACATAAACCAATGTTTCCTCTATGAGAATGGAAGAGAAAGGGATCAGCTTTTCTGGGGGAACCACAGGCCTGGTGGCATTGAAACTCGACATTAAAAAATGACCAATAGCCCACAAAATGTGGGCTATGAAAAAAATATCTATCTATCTATCTATCTATCTATCTATCTATCTATCTATCTCTGGCATAAACTAAGAGCTTATTGTTTATTGGGTTTTTCAAAGTGTTTATTCAGTAATGAGTTAGAACCAGAATAAAAATATCCAGATTATAACGCATGTCTCTACACAGTCTAGATAGTATTTTTTCTGTGTCTATAAAAGTATCAAGCAAAAGTTCTCCAGAGGCTTTTCACTCTCTCTTTCTCATGCTCTAGATATTATGAAAGACACTTCTCCATTCAAAAATGGCTTCTCTATCATTTCCATTTCACTTGGAACTGAACCCACGGCTATTCACTTATGAGACTAAAGACAGGAAGATAACAAAATTACTAAACTGCTAACCTAAAATCTTCACAGGTGACTAGGTTTTCTGATCATTTCTCATACTCACTAACTGACATACACATCACTAGAGTAATAGTTCATAGCATTAGGAGCCAGGGATACAGATCAGTGGCACAGCACCTGTCTGGCAAGTGGAAGGCTCTGACTTCGACTTCCAGTACACACACATACAAAAATAGTACAAAGCATTAAAAAACTAAAAATATTGAACATAGTAGTTCTATATAAAATTGAAAAAACTATTTGAGGATAAGATGAAGTATAAATTAAGAGCCTGGTTAAAAACTCAGCATCCCCATCGCACCAGCCATATTTCACATGCTTGCTACAGCTACCCTACTGGACAGCACATACAGAACATGTTAGGGCTGCTGGCCAGTGCTGCCAGGGGACTCATCAGTTAGAATAGAAAATACCTTTACTATATGTTTATAATATTCTTGCTCTATTTTCTTAGTGTGAACACCTAAGGATCAAGCCTTTTTGTGCTTTTCAAGCCTTATTCTTATGAAGGATCATTCTTGGCCTGTTTATTGAACAGCTACGCCTTATTCCACAAAGGATGAGAATGGAAATTAGCATGAAGAGGAAAGGCAAGGAACCAGGGACACAGCTCAGTAGCATAGCACCTGCCTGGGAAGCAAAAGGAACTGAATTGGACTCCTGGTACCTAAAAAAAAAGAAAGAAGGAAGAAGGAAAAAGAAGGAAGAGGAGGAGGAGGAGAAGAAGAAATGCAACACTCAGAAAAAATTAGCATTTAAAAAACTTAATTCTCAAGTTTATCTTTGAGATAACATGAATAACATCTCCAGACTGCATTTCAAACGCAATTATTTCACATGCTTTTCTTTTCAAATGAAGCAATATTAAGGAAAAAGAAAGGGACACTACCTGGCAGGACTGATGTAACTGGCGTAATATTTTTTGAAGTTTTCCATATTCTTCGCGTTCTAAATATAATTTTCCAAGCTGTAAGAAAAAAAGCTTATTAAAATAAAAAGTGTTTTCAACAGGAAAAGTTAGGAAATATTTTAAGGAAACCCACCCACTCTCTAAGAGGACAAAAAATTCAACTGTTACCTTTGTGTTTGTCTTAAACCACAGCCTATCATTCTTAGCATCTTTCAAAGCTTCCAGTGTTGTTTCATAAAATTCCTGCAGTAAATCCATCTGACATAAAAAATCAGAATTCTATAATTGTAAACAGCAAATTTGTACCTGTTAATAAAGTTAATTTGAACAAACTAAAAGTGCATCTTTGAACTTTAATACACTTAAGACACACTACTTGTATCTTAGCAAATGTCTTCTACAGTTGAAAAGATTAACATACTAGATTTATTTATAAGTGCTACGATGTTTGCATGTTATCTTTATAAAACCCAGAAAACATTTTCCTGTATGAATTACATCATAAACTCTAATGCTGTAATAGTACACATATCTACCCTTCACAACCCTAAAGACTCACTTTAGTTTAACATAGGTAAGTGATGTGCTGCACTGCTACTAACTGAGTGTCTTCTACATTCAACCTTTACTTGGTACCTATTCTATGGCAAACACTGAGCAGTCAGCTAGAAAAACAAATAAGCTCCTTCCCTCAAACTTTTTCTCTTAGTGACTAACCAATTTATTACACTGCATAGCTTTTAAGTCACTAGCAAACCTTTGAGCTGGAGAGAAAATAGTTACTTTTTGTTGTGTTTAATCACCACCCAGTCACTAATCCCACTGAAAGCACTACTTGTGAAAAGCTCCATGGCTGGGCATAGTGACAAACACCTGTAATCCTAGCACAAGGGAGGTTCAGGCAGGAGGATCACCACGAGTTTGAGGTCAGCCTGAACTATATAGCGAGACCCTGTCTCAAAAAAAAAAAAAAGTCTCTAAACCCTTTTCATCTACTTCTGGCTCTGCCTTTGAATATCTGGTTCATTCCCTCTCCACTTGACAAGATCACCAAGACAGACACCTGAGTTCAGATCTTCTGATACTTCAGGAAAGGCTGCCCATTACGCCATGACTAGTGATGGCACATGGGGTGAGTCTGACAGCCACCTACTTCTGCCCAGCCTTCCTCTTAGAAGGCAAAGACTTTATGGACCTTCAAGTTTTAAAATGACTTTATTCCCCTTCCCTAACACATGTCATAGTCTTTATAAATAATGTAGTACAAATGTTTTGATGAAAACTCTTGCCACTTAAGAACTCCACAATATACAATTAAGCGCTAATGTTCCAACAAAACACGTAAGTTTACCTTCTTTATGCCCATCTGATGTTAAAAAATTCACCTGACATTTTCAATATTAAGAATAGAAACAAACTACTTCAAGTAATAATAATAATAATAATAATAATAATAATAATAATAATGATAAAAGACACCTAGTAGAAAAGACAGGAAATGAGAGGCTGTTTGCTTATGGGGATACTTTTAGTAGGAGTACAGCGTACATCAAATGTTCTGAGAAATGCTAAGTGCCACACTACCTCTCACACTCAGGTATAGAGTAGGAAAGCTAAACTTTATGACTATGTTGCTTACAAACTAGCAACAATCCAAGTGAACATTATCTCAACTCAAAAATTGAGTAAAAAACCAAAGCCATCATGGCTTTAATGATCAAAGTCTCAAGTATTGAAAGCAGTATCACCACTAGTGTTTCATTGTCAGCCTTTCCTTTCTCAACACCACCAATCCATCCTCGGAGCAAAAAAACCCAAAACTGACAGGAGTACACCACTGCTCGTGGGCCTTGCCCTAACCAAGCCCGCATAAGTCTCTTGTGTTTCAGTGCTCAGTTCAAGCCCCCCCAGGACGGCCTGCTGAAGTGCAGTTTATCAGAAGGAACCGTGAGATGTAGGGGCACTGCTCGGTGGTAGTGTGCCTGACTAGGATGCAGGAGATCCTGGGTCTGATCTCCAGCACTGCAGAAGTGATAACGCAAAACAAAGTAAGGGGAAGTATAAATGGGGCTCTATGGGAATATAAATATAGGTACAAAAGCTATTTGCAGATTATTTTAGTATCAGAAGATAAAATTTAAAGAGATTAACGAGTTATTACCTTTTCATATTACATTACTACTAAGAAAACTGCACACTAATATTTTTGAGGCACACCCATGATTATCGTAATTGCTTTAATAGAACCTCTAGGTCTTTTACCCTTTGAAGTACAAAGTCTTGGTGGGGGTCAAGGAAGGTGGGTGGAGATGATCAAAGCATGTACCCATGTGCCCAGCACTCTAGATAACCAGATGATACTACACTAATAGTACTGAGAGGAAAAAGTTGAGTCTAACCTGTTTAGAAGTAGAGATATAATCAAGAATAGAATTGATGGACTTTTCAGAATAATTTCTTGTCACTGCACTCCGAATATAGGTTAAGAGTTGCTTATATCTATTCATCATTTCCGGAAAGTTGGTCTGTGAGGGAAGAAAGCATTAGACAAATATTTATGCACTAAACCATGCACACGTACACCCATGATTAAGACACAGTACATACCATTACCAAACTGAAATATAGTTCATATAATTCAAAATATATTTTTATAAAAAGGAACTATATGGGGGGCCAGGGAGATGGCTCAGTGGAGTAAGAGCTTCCCTGGCAAGCGCAAGAGCCTGAGTTCAATCCCCAGTTCTGCCAAAAAAAAAAAAAAAAAAAAACTATACATGGGACGAATACTGCAGACATTTTCTTAAATTTGAAGTGACTACATTAGTCAGATACACAAACCATAGTCATGAAGCTAGCCTATACAGAAGTGCAACTTCTGTATTTCTCAAACTTCGGATATTCTTCTTTGCTGTACAACATATTTACTTAAATCATAAAAACTACTAAAATATTCACAGACCAAAAGATTCCTACCTTGAGGATTTACCTCTTCACTAGGAAACTCTCCAATAAGAATTATATATTTATATTCTCCACATAACTAGCTGATTCTACAAAAAAATGTGAAGTGAAGAATGCCTCCGAGCCCCAAGAGGAATCTCACTGCAAGAGCTCTCACGCGAGGCTCTATTCAACGGCAGTGGTAGCTAATGCTGTACTTCCCTGCATTACTGTTTATACTTCTGTGGGCTATTCCAGAAACATGAGCAACCTGGAGAAAGAAACAAGCAGGAGTGACATGCCCACAGCTACACACGCCACACGCCGGCTTGGCCTTCCTGCACGCCTTGTGCGATCAGCCAACGGGCCTAACCTCACTGCATCCAGGCCCCGCCACTGCTACTGCTATCAACTCTTCCTGTCACTGAGTTCGTGGCATGAGGGAGACAGAGCACTGGCATGTGGAGATGCTTTTTTACTTGACTGACCATGTGCTTACCAGGGTGAGGAATTAACTTTAGTAAAAGATTCGAACTATTTTTGTTTCTAAGGACACAGGTTTCCAGTGGGACTAGAAAAGTGATGCAACTTGCTAAAAAGTTACAGAACATTTCTTCCAAGGAGAGGGAGATGAAACAATGACTGTCTCAACTCCCAGATTGCATCTTGAGAAAAGAATTTTTAGCAAAAATTTAGAGTTCTGAATTGATCTGTCTATGCTATACTTTAAAAACTCATTTTTTAAAAATTAGAGACTGAGGGAAGATCAGGCAAATTGGCTTTATCTGTGATTGTGAATACATGGAACAGCTGATAACGAACTCTTCTTGCCTTATTTTTTTGAGACAGGGTCTCACATGTAGTTTAGACTGACCTTGAACTCACTATCCTTGAGTGCTGAGGTTATAGGCATGTGCACTACAGCCTGGCTCCTTCTAACTTTTTACTGCCTAGAACAATATAGTACAAAGTTCTACTTTCAGGCCAACTGGAAATGAGAGGGAAATGACAGAAGCTGAAACTACTGAGCTATCACAGGACACTGAAAGTAGAGGAAACAACACAAAACACACCCATTCCATCTCTGTAAGTTCTGCTTGGAGTGTCAAGTCCTTGGTCCCCCGCTGGTGACCCTCCTGGTGCTGGTGGGACTGACTGGGGGATGGGGCCCTCAGGAGGGAGCTTGGGCAATGGGCTGTGGCCTACAACAGGACACCCTGTGCCCGAGGTCCTGCCGCTGTCTTTTTGCTTCCGGGCTGCCTTCCAGCGAGCAGCACATGCTTCTGCCAGGATATCGGGCCTGGCCATGGGCTCTGGAACAAAAGACCACTGATGGTGGGTAGACCCCCTGAACCTGGGAACCAAAATAAATCTTTCTTCCTTTTAGGTGATTCTCAAAGGTGCTTTTTATCACAGTGATGGAAAGCTGACCTGCACACTACTGCCGGATGTGGTGGTACACACTTGTAATGCCAGCACCAGGAAGCTGAGGCCAGCTTGGGCTACATAAGTTCGTTCAAGGTAACCTGAACTACACAGTGAGAGTCTGCCACAAACAAACACACACACACAAACAAATATTACATTCCATTTAAATTTACTAACAGAGGGCTGAGGAGATGGCTCAGTAGAATAAGTGTTTCCCTGGCAGGCGCAAGGTCCCGAGTTCAATCCCCGGTTCCACCAAAAAAAAAAAAAAGAAGTAGTATTTGGGGACAGGGAGATGGCCCAGTGGAATAAGCACTTGCCTGGCAAGTGCAAGGGCGTGACTTCAATCTCTGGGTCCACCAAAAAAAAAAAAAAAAAAAAAAAAAAAAAACATTGCTAGTCTATTAAGAAAAAACTTTTTCTCTTTTTTTTTTTGCGGAACCAGGGGACTGAACTCAGGCCCTTACACTTGCCAGGGAAGCCCTTACTGTACTGAGCCATCACTCCCACCCCAAGACAAAACTTTTTTTTTTGGAGGGGGGTTCTAAGGATTGAACCCAGGGCCTCTGCACGGAGTTATACTGTCAGCCCTTTATATTGTTGAGAAGAGACCCTGCTGAAGCTGAAGCACTGAGTTGGGCTTGATCTTCCAACTGCCTCAGTCTCCCAGAGTGCTGGGATTATAGGTGTGAGTCAACATGAACTCTAGGTATTATCTCAATTCAAAGAAATTTAACCATTGAATACTGAACATCTAGTGTTACTATAAATCATTTAATCAAAAATCTGTCTCTTAGAACACTTATGTACTTACTTCATAACCTTCCATGTCATTGATTTAAATATAATAAATATTAGCACAAGTAATCACTACGCACAAATTTAAATAATTTTTTTTCTTTTTTAATATATTTGGTACAGGGTCTCACTATGCAGCTTGGACTCATACTGATCCTCCTGTTTTCAGCCTCTCTGGTGCTGGGATTATAGGTGTGTGCTACCACGGCTGGTCTTGGTGGGGTGGCCAGCACAGCATGTGATGCTGGCAATCAAACCCTGGTCTCTGCACTTGCCTAGGCAGGCACTTGGTCTGCTGAGCTATCTTGCTGGCCCTACAGGATTTTTCTTAACAGAAATTGGATAGCCCAAGCAAAATTAAAACAAAAAACAGTAGTGGTATTATAGCCCTAACCACAAGGTAGGTGAAATGGAAACATGTCAATAGAATTATCTTAAGAGAAGTAGATATAATGGCATTTTGTTGCAATGTTTTGAACCCAAAGGAAATACTCATTACTATTGTAATGTCTTCAAAACAAATCTTACCAACTTGAAGTTAATCTTAATCATTTGTTTCAGTGCTTTAAACCCCCACTCTCCTTTTTCACCTTCAAGTTCTAAAACCTAAAAAGGGAAAAAATTTAGTTTACTGTTAACACATTTTTTAATGACAATGATATCTTAAGTTTTTAATTTAATGTCATGTTCATAAAAATTTCCTCAAGAATACCATTTCTCAGGACCAATTTTAAAAACACAAAGTCTCAAAATATTTTCTTGCAGATAAATGAACTTGTTTTGTTTTGTTTTTAAAGTAATTTTTTTTTTATAACTTTATTTATTTATTTATTTATTTAGTGTGTGTATGGCCAGTTCAGCCCACCAGGGGGCGGGGCTGGCTGGCATGTGGTGCTGGGGATTGAACCGCGGTCTCTGCTTTTGCTTAGCTTAGCTTGTTCTAAGGAGGTGCTTTAGACCACTGAGCCATCTCACCAGCCCAAATGAACTTATTTTGAAGTTCTTCAATTAAGCACTACTACTTCAATAGCCAGTAGCCCCCCCAATCACTTTTTTTTTTGTGGGGGGTGAGACAGTCTTTATGTACTTCAGGCTAGCCTTGAGCTCATTTTGTAGCCCAGACTGGTTTTGAACTCTCAAGATCCTCCTGCCTCAGCCTCCTGAGTTCTGGGATTACAGGCATGCACCACCACACATAGCCCCAACTCATTTTTTGGTAAGAACAATCCAAAGATGAAATTAAGAAATCAGTGAAACATGCCCCAAGAAGAAAAAGACTGTTTTATTTATTTATTTATTTATTTATTTATTTATTAAGACTATTGTTTTAATTTGCATTAACCATCACACTGGCTCTCCTGCCAGTATGAGAATATGCTAGTGCACTTTTCAGAACACTTGACTGTAAAAAAAACAGCCCTTCGGAAATGTATGTTTATGCTGCATACTGCAAGCTTACAGGATCATCACTAAGGCTGCCAAACGCATTTCTCAGATACGACCACGATGGGCTGATTTGGTTTGATACATCATTAGCAACATAAATTTTAAGGCATAAAGTTTACTAAAAAAAAAAAAAAAATACATACTTTTTGGAAGCTGCTTAAAGCTGCTTTTGGGTCATCTTCTTTTAATGCTTTGGAATTATAGTACTGATTTTCCAAATCCACATTTGGCTCAGAATTACTGTCTTCAGAGTACTCCTGTGTGTTGGAAAGGAGACATTAAATGGGGACAAAAAGAAACCCACATGTTGCACTGCGAGAGAAGTCAACACTGTAGGGATGGGAAAACCATACACAAGGACATAACCACCAAGAATACCTAGGCAAAATGCAAACTGAAAGTGGGCTGATGGTCTCTGCCAGCAGTCAGCCATTTGTTGGTCACTGCACCTGAGAAAAGCCTAGTGCAGGTGTGCAGGAATTATTCACCTTTCACTCTGTAGTCCTATTTTTTTCTACACCCTAATTCTAAATTTTGTTTGTCTAACAAGGCCTAACTAGCTGGGATGGTACGCCAATGCTAAAAATAATTGTATATTAATAAGACCATTTTTTATGTGAACTTCAAATTATAATACTTTAATGTAACTTACAACAAATCAAGATAGGTAAATCAAAATGAACTTACATAATTTTATGACTTTTTTCCATCATATAAATTCAGTTCTTAGTGAAACACAGTAAAGGAAAAACTGAGATAAAACTATGAATGTGGAGCAGTCTAAACAAATTTTAAATGCTTTAAATAGATATTTGATCTACTAATGATTACAAGGTACAGTTTGTGGCATAATGAAAATTATCTTAAGAAGCTATGAGACAGAGCTATTATTTTTCCTCCTCAGCTATCAGCCAAAGGGGCAAATTTATGTCCAATTAAGAATACCTGGTTAGAAGAAATGACATGAAAAGAACAGTGTCACAGTTTTTTTCTAAAATCCAAATAGTTAACTTCTTCACAAGAGATTTTCATTGAAAACTCTGTAAAGTTTCATAAAGGCAGAGGAGTGAGGAAAAGCACAGTGAGTGTAGTAAGTATTTACTTAGTTCAAAATACATCAACACGTGGTGAATATTTCAATAGTTCTAACAGTTGCTTTGTAAGGTGTGCCCTCTGGAAGATAGTCATTTCCTTGTATGAGGCCATGAGTAGTTCCAGCTGTAGATGTAAGACCTGGTACCGTTATGTTTAACATGAAATTTCCCATGGAACACTTTTTTAAAGACAAGTAAACTTAAGAGTAGTAATGCCTCATTTATGTCTGAATCCTTCTTTTTTTTTTTCTTTTGAAAAAGGGTCTCGCTGTGCAGTTGAGGCTGGCCTTGAACTCACTATGGAGTCCATGCTGGTTTCCAACCCCAGGCAATCCTCTTGCTGCAGCCTGCCAAGTACAGGGATTAGAGGTGTGCGCCCACGCCTTGCTTTACTTCTAATCTATGTAATCTAGGCTTGAAAATAATAAAACTACAAAAACAGTAATTAGCAACCTTTATACACAGTTAACTAAATGATGCTATCTATAACTGGGGTCTGAAGCTGGGTTTTCAAAGATAAATGAGCCAAAAAAGAGAATGCAGATAACAGATAATCACACGTTCAACAGCATCAACAGCAGATGACTGAAGTAGAAGCAGTTATGCTGCTAGAGCACAAAACCGCTTTACCAATCTGCCTTAACACTAACTCTCTACTCCTTCCACCTCGTCCTTATTTCCTGTCACACGCTTCCTTACCAAGCCACCTCCATTTCTCCAGGCTTCATCAGCCTTCATATCCTGCTTTTTATTCTTCAAATTGCAATCTTTTCATGAAAAGCAGACATAATAATCTCCATGAAATCTGTTATCTGCTCTCCTCAAAACTGGTATTGCACTGCTCAAAATAAAATAATAAAGTTGAGTTCAAAATAATAAAGATCTGCCTTTCAAGTGTAAGACTGGCATCAGACCTGACTCTACCAGCCCCAACCTACTAACAGCAAAGGCGCCAACCCCAGTGGGGAACTCGGCTCAGCAGAGGCTGCCGTCCCCAGACACTGGATAAAATAGGACATGGAGTGTTGCAGGGTGTGGGACATCTGGAGCCACTCGAAGATTTACACCAGATGCTTCAAGGACTCTGCCCACTGAGGTGTAAGACAGCCAGAGAATTCTGAGAGCAGATGTTTATTAAAAATCTTGCTGTCTAGTGTCCTTTGGCTTCTTCTCCTCCTATAAAAGGGGTCTGCTTCTCTGTTCCCTACAGATGGTCTCCCCTCCACCCATCTGCCCGCAGGCACAACTAATTCCACACATGTTGCCTTCATCCAAGCCTGGTGGTCTCTGTGCAGCCTTGTGTCCTAGCACATGCCCCCCACCCACTCTGCCTTTCCTACTCACACTGAGACAGGGCATTTTCTCCTCTTTTTCCCTCTTCACCCAGCTAATCAGGACAGACAATTCCAGAATGCAGGGGAACAGCCCTCTCTTCAGGGAGGACTATGGAACCTGCCCACCCTACTCACCCTTCTGGAAATCAGTCCTTAATTGCCTTATTAACTTGGAATAGAGGTAAACATTTTCAGATCCTTGTATCTAAACTATAGCAAAGATATTTTAAAAGCTTCGCTCAATATTGATCAATAAAACAGAAATAGTTCGCTCAACTAGAAAATTACCTTTCTGCAACACAAACCTTCAGAACACAGCCCTAAACCTGGAAGTGAATGAAAAATATTTTTTTTATTTTTTTAATTTTTATTTTTTATTTATGCATGTGTGTGTGTGTGTGTGTGTGTGTGTGTGTGTG